CCTTTCAGCGGCCAGGGTCGCAGCGGCGCGGGGTGCGGGGCTGATGCATGGACAGTGGCAGCTGTTGGGAGGCTGAGCGAGCCCTGAAGCTGCCTCCCCAACCCCCAACCCCCAACCCCTCCCACAAACGTACAGGCCCTGCCCACTCGCGGCCTCTGCCACCACCCCACCCACCCACCCACGCCGCCCCGCCCACCTGCAGCAAGAACTCGTGGCAGCCGGGGGCGTCCTTGAGCGCGATGCAGAAGATGGTGCGGGGGCCGTAGATGCCCATGCCGGCGGCGGCCTGCGGGGCGGGGAGCAGCGGGGTGGGGGCAGGTCGGGGGGAGGTCTGCGGGCAGTGGAGGGTGGGCGAGGCGCCGGCGCGGCAGGCAGGCCCGAGCAGTGGAGCCGGGCAGGGGCCGGCCGCCACGCAGCAGCAAACGCCGCCGCCGCTGCCTGCAGGCCGCGCTGCGGCGCCGGCCCCCATCCCATGGGCCGAGCCCGGAGGCAGGACGGATCCATTGCTTCCACACACACACACACACACACACACAAACACGCCTTGCCGGGCGCCCACCTGCTGGCGTCCGGTGATGCCGGTCAGCTCGTCCCCGGGCCACACGCCAAAGATGGTGCCCACCGAGAAGTTGGTGTCGACGATGGAGGAGCCGTCCAGGGGGTCAAAGGCGACGGAGAAGCCGGAGCCTGTGGGTGGTGTGTGGGGGGGCGGAGGGAGGGAGGGGAAGGACAGAGGAGGAGTGAGCGGAAGGCCAGGAAGCAAGGCAGCCGGCACGCGAGACGACAGCAGAGCAGGAGGATAGGCGACCGCTCCGCGGCTCCTGCTGCTGGTGAAGGGAGCGAAGAAGGCGGGCCACGCGGCACGGCGGCCCCCGGGCTCCCGTGCCGGCTGCCGCACGGGGCAGCGCAGCGCAGCGTGCCTGCCCATCCAATGACAGGTGCCCAGCAGCGCAGCGCAGGCGGCGGCGGCTCACCGCCCAGGTCGAGGGGCTCGGGCACCTCCTCCGAGCAGGCCAGCTTGCAGCAGCCCGAGTAGCGCAGCGCCTCGAACAGCAGCTTGTCGGCCAGCATGTCCACCGCCAGCTGCTCGTCGCCAAAGGAGTTGACGCAGGCGGTGCCGCCGCACGATGCGGTGCGCACCTGTGGGTGGCGGGGCATGTGCGTGTGTGTGAGAGAGAGAGAGGGTGGGGTGGGGGTGGGTATGTGGAGGGGGTGGCAAGGTGCGAGGCTGCCCTCTGAGGCACCCGGCAGCACCCAGCCGCGAGCCCCGCCTGCCCACACAGCCCAGGTCTCCACATTCCTGGGGCCTGGACAGGACGGCGCAGCAGGGCACGCAGGCTGCCCCGCCCAGGCAGCAACCCCAACACCCAGCAACCCCCAGCACTCAGCAACTCCAGCACCCAGCAGCGGCCCACCTTGCCGCCCCCCCACACACACGCGCAGGACCCGCAGCACCCTTCCAACCCCCAGCAGGAGCCCACCTTGTAGGCGATGGTGCGGATGGCCTCCGACATGCTCATCATGAGCTGGCGCAGCTTGGGGTCGGGGGTGGCCTCCAGCAGGAACTCCTCCAGGGTGTCGCCGATCTGCGGGAGAGCAGGCAAGGCGGCAGGGGAGCGGCGGGTGGTTGGTTGGTTGGGTGGGTGGGTGGGTGCTGCGCGTGGCGGCGGCGGCGCCCTGGGCTGCAGCGCTGGTAGCTGGGTGCTGCCCCGCATGGCAGCTACGCGCGAAGGGAAGTGCCCTGGGTGGGCTGGCTGCCCCGGCTGCTTGATGGTGATGTTGGCGGGCGCCCGCCGCCCAGTGTGTGCCAGGCGGCAAGCTGCCCCGCCGGCCCGGGCAGAGGCAGGCGGCCCCAAAGGCTGCGGCTTTCCGGCTGTGCTGCTGCCACATGAACTGCCGCTGCGCGGCTCGGGTGCATAGCGGCTGCCGGAGCAGGCAGGGCCGGGGTGCCGTCGGCGGCAGCGGGCGCCGGCGCAGGCAGGGGCTGACCTTGGCCTGGGCGGCGATGGCGGCGCGGCGGGCGCTGCTGCCGGCGGCCTTGGCGGAAATGCGGGCGCCAGCGAAGCTGCTGGAGCTGGAGGACTGGGCGGCGGCACGCACGGCCATGCGGGGAGCCACCTGCAGGGCATCAATGCAAGGCAGCGGATAAGACGGCGCCCAGGGCCCCGCTTGGCTCCCTGGCATATCGAAGGCCGGCAACGATGCCCCCGGCGCCCCATCGGACCTTCATGCTGGTGGAGCTCTTGGCGGTGGTCGCCACACGGGCTGCGACGGTCGCCTGGGCGGAGAAGGTGGCAGCGGCCATGGTGCCTGCTCTGCTGCTTCTGTCCTGGGCACACAAGCAACACAGAGGCCCGATCCCACGCGCATTGCGACTTTGGGCGTCAACCCAGCCTGGGGTACACCTGTACCGGCTGGCGACCCAAAAGCTGGGCGTCTGACCGCGCAATCGGGAGCGGTTGACGCAGTGAACAGCCCTGGCAGCGGGGAGGGGCGCAGCGGAACAGCTGTCGTGGAGATGGGGCCGCCCACCGCTTTGCCGCCCTCCAGGTGCGCTCCCTGCGCCTTGAAACTACGCAGCATCCCTCCGCCACCTAGATGCCGCCCGCAGATGGGGGCCAGGCCCCACCCCTGCGCCGCCGCCGTCGCTGCCGCCAGCGTCGCCCGACCTGGGCGGTGCCGTTTTGGGCCACACCGCCGGGACACTGCAGCTGGCTGGCATTGCCCCACACCAGCCCCGGGGGCACCGCTACACCGTGATGCTGCCAAGCATGCTGCATTTCCGCGCCGCACCCGCATGCAGGAACAAGCGGCGGCGGGAGGAGGGGCCCACCGCTGGCAGCGGCAAGGCCTCTGGCAGCAAAGCGTGAGCCTCCACCCGCGCTGTGCTGGCTCGCACTCACCGCCTCCCATGCCTGCCGGCATGCCTCAGCCTGCCCCACCCTGCGATCCTTCGTGCACGCCTGCGCCGGGTGCTTTGCTTTGCCGCGCCTTGCGTAAACCGGCGGTTTCCACCTCCCCCACCTCGCCACCTGTCCCCCTCCACACCCTGCCGCAGCGAGGGCCTCTACCACTGCGACTACTGCCACAAGGACCTCAGCTCCACGCTGCGCATCAAGTGCGCTCAGTGCAAGGACTTTGACCTGTGCCTTGAGTGCTTCAGGTGAGGCCAGGGAGGAGGGTGGGAGGGGAGGGGCGCCGCGCGCTTGCCCGAGGCCTGGCTGGGGCAGCAGAGGGGCAGGGGCGCGAGGCGCGGCAGCAGCGCGTGCGCGCCAGGGCGGGAGGCGGCAGGCGCAGCGCGATGCGTCCAGGCTGGCAGACGACTGTAGAGCCCGGGACACAGGCGCAGCTGCGTCCGGCCCTTGCTGGCACCGCCACCCCCTCCCGCCCATTCCTGATTGTTGTTTAATTCAACCTGCCTCCCTCTGCCCTCATGGCCTTTGCCCCGCGCCTGCCTGCCTGCCTGCCTGCCCTCCTTTCGCCGCAGCGTGGGCGTGGAGCTGAATGTCGCGGGCCACTCCAACGACCATCCATACAAGGTGGTGCAGAGCCTGGGCTTCCCACTCTACCACCCGGGCTGGAGGGTGAGCGCCCCAGCCCGCCAGCAGCAGCCGCCGGGCTAGGCGCAACGCCCTAGGCACACCGCCGCCGGCCGCTGTAGGCTGCTCGGCGCCAGGAGCTGGCCGGGAGGGGAAGGAGAGGCGAGGCAGGCTGCCGGGCACGCCCCGAATCAATGCCCACAAGCGCCCGGCCCCCGTCCCCGCCCTTGTCCCTCCCCCTGCCCTGCTCTGCCTCGCAGGCGGATGAGGAGCTGCTGCTGCTGGAGGGGATTGAGATTTATGGGATGGGTAACTGGCCCAAGGTGGCAGGTGCGCCCATATTGTGCAGCCACCTGGGTGCTCCAAGGCGCAGCCACCAGGGCGCAGCCGCTGGTGTTTGCTGGGTGCAGCCAGCGCGCCGCCACAGGGCGCGTGTAGGGCGTAAGACCACCACAGCCGGCACGCCCGGCATGCGACCGCCTGCGGGCGCTGGT